GTAGATGTTCAGAAAATCGTAGATATGCCCTTCTTCATTCTGTCCTTCCAATGTAACTGCTCCAACAGATACATGTAAATTTCTATATACAGTTGGAGTAAACAACATGAGAAGGATATCTATCGATTTTTGATTGCACTAAAGGAGAGCAAGTTGTTCGATAGACAGGGACGAGCTTAGCCAGCTGCAGGATAGGCTAGGCTATGGCTAGTGATGTACTCAGCCTTCTGTTGATCATCGCTGCAATCTTTTCACCTTTATAATCAATCAAGCTCAATGTAGATTGGCTTTTTACCTACTGTGATTTGTTTTACATCTGTGACTTCAGACAGATCTTCCATACTTGTTGATGAACTTTTGAGGGTACCCACTGCTCTTCAACATCTTTTCAACAAACTCAAATTATTCCTCTAATTTCATCTCTCTTTCATCTGAATACGAAATACTGGAAGGTTTCCATTGTGTATGATGATTATTGTTGTTCGGAATAGTGTTTATTATTACTGTATACATATATTGATCGATTGATTTATTTTTGTTTAAAATGAACTCTGTGCAAGTAAGTATGTTAAAATTGTTTTTGTAAATATATTTAATAGTGAATGCCTTAGTCCTGTAAGCAACTGACGAGAAGGCAACGAAGTAAGCGATGATGGTACCACTTTATTCTGCTAAAACTGTAGTTCTTGCTTTGTTCAAATTAACCTAGAAGCTGTCAATCACGTTCATCTCATATACAATCCCCCAGGAGAAGAAGAAATAGTATTACCAGCTGTTACGTAGAGGTAGTTGTTCAGTGATCATATTGAATATTATTCATATCGATAATGAAAGTGAAATGCAAACTTGATACACTGGCTGACAGAAACTGATATTATAAATATGTACACATACATGACTAGACATATTGATAATAAAGTTGTTGAAATTGACTGGTAACAATGAGTATTCAGTTTTATTTTTTTATTTATTTTATTTTTGATTACAGCTTGATTCCACACTACAAGTATAGAATTTTCAGCGTGGATATCGTTAGCCCGAATTTCGCAGGCCGACCATAGATATCAGGTGTGCGTCGGCGTGGGCTCGAGCCCCGGAGCATGTGCATGGTCGGCGAGAGTCCTAACCACTGTGCCACCGACGCTCTTTACTTATCTCTTGAGTTGGGAATGGAAAATATCGTTTCATCAAAGTTATAGGTTTCAAACACATTCATCAACCTGAAACCAATCTGGAAATCTTCGTCACTCAACTCAACATCAACAACAAAATTCAGTCTGATTTTCAATACAAACAACGTCAAGTCAGTCAGCTCTTCTATACGGATCTTTATGGAACTTCGCGGGCGGTTCACAAAGAATATTTCCAACAACCTGTTGCACACCTTTATCAACCAACAACTGTCTTCGCTGGTTCTATACTGAAGATCAATCAGATGGCTAGGCCGGAAAGAATCACCAACAAGAAACTATGGGAACAAACAAGACAAGAACAAACCAATCGCCCACCAACCAGCAAATATGCAGGAGGAAGTGAAGAGATGGATTGGACACTCACTGAGGAGGCCGCTGGGTGACATCGCACGCACGTCAGGCCATCACTCGAGTGGAATCCGAAAGGGAAGCGGCGAGTGGGACGTCAGTGCAAGGGTGGGTGACATGGAGGAGATCATGTGAAGAATTGAGGAGTTGAAACAGTATGGACTAACATGGGTGATGCAGGTGAAAAGTATAGGAGAAGACAGAAGTGGCAAGTGGAGACGTCCAGTTGAAGCCGTATGTTCCAATAGGAACCCAAGGGAACAATAATAATAAGTTTTAGGTTTTAGTAACACTGGCGTTGAGTCTTTGTTTTACTGAATGGAGTTGCCTACCTCATGCGTAGCCTGTTCCTGTTTTCGGTGTTATCAACACTTAACAAACTAGGCGTAGTGTAGGAGTAAGTCAGCTGGGAATTGGACTAGGCCCCGTAGTGTTGTAGCTGGCGATCATTGTACCATTGTACCACTAATGAACATTGTTACAATGAGAATGCTTAGATTGTTGAATAAACACAGTTGTTTACATTAGATAGATTTTTTCTTTCATGTTCCCAGTGGAACATAGGGCTTTAAGCTACAGGCTTGAAGTTTCGGTAGCAGTGGTGTTTATTCTCACAGGATGGGGTTGCTAGCCAGCTTCGTGTCCAACCTTTCCTCAGACCTTGCACATAACCATTAGGTCGCGCACTATATCCCATCGCCCTTGGAGGATCTGGAAATAAAAGTCACGAAAACACCATCAGAGCATATGACAGGTCAGGAACCCCATATTAGCTATAAACTTCTTCAACAGTTGAAAGGTCATTGATCATTAGAAAGCCAAATCTTCACCTTAATAATTACTTCTATGTATGATAGCTTTGTCTAGTACACACATATATAACATGCATTGTGCTACTGTTGTTCCTGAATCTTTAATAGCCTTGTTATATACTCCACACTGAGATATGACTATTTGTTTGGTTACCTAATATTCCGAGAAAAAATAAGAACTTACAGTCGACCTACAAAGAAAGGGATACATAGATTTACACCGTGTTCGGTGGTGACAATCCTTAGACCTGGATTTTGTGCATGCTGACATTTGTAAGTAAGTAAGGCGTATGTGCAACCTCATGTCCTCTTCCTCCTTGGATTGAAACTCGCATCACCAAGTGCTGCAGTCATACATGATACACTATTGAGATATCCGAACTCATGATTGACCTCCTGTAGAACTGTAAAGGACATGTTAATTGGTCACAATGGAGTAGCGAACGTCATGTTTCTAGTCCTTCGAGTTACCGTTGACTGAATTCTATCAGTCATTTCTGCAAAGTGGTCACCAAGCTAGGTCTCTCATCGCAGTGGTGCACTATGAACTTATGTCAGATGGTTGAATATATTATTTTTGTCACTCCCTAGTGACTAACAGATGTAAATCAACATAGTATAATGAAGTTGATAGTGTTCATTGAGTTTCTTTAAGTCATTCAAACGCATGAGGGAACTAGAATCTGGCCAGTTTAATTCTGACGTAATTAAGGGTCCTGCTGAAATATTACTGAAACTCAAGCAAAACAACTATCCAAGGGACTTCATCAACAAAATCAACACAGGCAATAAGTATGGACGAAAATGCATTCCGAAAACATGGACATCAACAGTCGTCATTCCATAAAGAGCAAAGACGTCAGACGACATCAGAAGAGTACTCAATCAGCACAACATCAGGGTTTTCTTCAAAACATCAGACACACGAGGTGACAACCTTGTCCATATAAAAGATTAAATACCTAAAGATTCTCTAATTGTGTCTATAAAATAAAATGCTTGGAATCTGATGCGATATACATCAGACAAACATCTCGAGAAATCAAAATCAGAAGAAATAAACACCGTAGAGTGAGTGTCTGTTCGACCATCGAGAAATCCAGTCGGTGAACTAGAAAAGCTTGAAAAATCATCAGCCAAGGCTCGTCCACACACTATCGAATCATACCACAAAATTGATTTTAATAAAATTGAAATTATCATCCAGAAAAAGCATTTCAGAAATCACAAAGAACGTCCAATATCATGGGAAGCACTTCATACCATCAAATGGAATCCAAATTGTCTGAGCTGAATAGGAATGATGGACTAAAACAGAATCTGACCTAGTTACAACACCCACCTGTCCCATCCATGAAGTGACAGAATCAACACGAATGTGATAAGCAAGTTCACTATGTAAAAACACACATTGCTTTTAAAATTTTACACACTGATCAAATCCAATAATCTACACCAGCCTGGTTTTGTTATCTTTACCAACTGACCCCAGACTGACGAACGATGAACAAGTTAGTAAACTTTGTTTTGATACCATGGCAGATGTACTTAGCCTCCAAAGCCTCAGGATGGTCGGGGGTGGGTGTCTTGCGCTGCGGGTTGGCCACCCCTCCGTACACCTCTTGAAATGCTCCCATATGACCGGGCGTCTTACATAGCCTCTCCTGAGGAAGTCCTACTCACTGCCTTCACGTGGAGGAGGTGTTTTTCACCGAAGTGAGAGGGCAAAAGCGGATGCCCGGCGCTCTTCACCGGGTTGACTGTCCATTGGATGACAGTCTAGGGGAGATGGCTAAACCCTGATTCCAAACCTCCAACGACTGGCGTATGAAGCTCACCGGAGTTCACCGGCAGACGTATGGACAAAGGGCTTATTGGATGCCCTGGATGTCTGGCCCCATTCAAAAAGGCGAATGAACCGGACTCCGGTCACCGGCTGCCAATGGATAGTGGACTCCCTACTCCACTCCTACTGCCTTGTAGGTCACACTTTGTTGTGTAAAGGCTAGAGCTGCACTCTCAAACAAAGGCCGAGCGATCCTGGGGACATCACTCGTACCCAATTCCCATGAAACTTCATGGTTCATGAAGCCGGCTCATCCTCCGGTAGGAGATAGCCGAAGTAAAAAAAAAAACTAAAAAAAAATGTACTTATTACCTTTGTTATTTGGTTTAGTGATTGATCTTCATTATTATTTTGACTTTTAATATGTCCTCCTTTTATCTTGACCTACATAGTCTACTTTCTCATCTCTTAACTCTTTGTTATAAATATGCTGAGTGGATTTTGTAAATTCTGGTTTCATAATACTAATTTGATAAAGCCATTAAGTAGCACCATTAAATAGCGAAACGTCAGTAAAAACGACAACAATATCGTTTTGCTCTTTTTCATTCATTCACTCTGGGAAATACAAAAAAAACGTTTACCCTATGCCCAAATTTTTTTCAAACTGTTAAAAGTGAACTTGGTGTGGACATATATAGTAGTAGTCTTGCTAAAATGCTTAAAATTGACAACCTGATTAATTCATCTTTTGTGATAAAGTGTTGTAAAGAAGTAGGGAAACGGTGATATCTCATAAACAAGAAAAAAGAGAGAGAGATTACTATTATAGAATTCATTCATTATATTAAAGGAACAAACCTGATGGCATTACACTGATAACTAATTTTGGATAGGCTAAATTTGAGCATCCACTTTTTTGGCCACAAATACGATAACAATCAGGTCCCGGAATACAGGCGATTTCATCTAAACACAAATTTAATAAAACAAAATAATAAAAAAACATAAGAATATGTATATAATTTCTTTTTTTTTAATGTTTTCTTTGCACACTGGGAAAGAAAATAAAGTATTGAATAGGCGTGAACCTTGTCAAGATTTGAAGACAGAGCAGTTAGAATGAACACATTCTCTCTAAACTGGATGATTTAATTCGCCTTCTGGACACCACATCTTCAACATTGAGTTCAGTGTGGCAATGTATGTGTGTGTGTGTGGGTTTCAATTATGTTATGTACTCGTCGCTAAATTATTGTTATGTAATGGTCGAGAATTTAATAGTCCTGATGCAAGAAAGACGGAAATCAGAAGACCACTAGGTTTGCGATGATACTTCTATTTTCCAAACACAAGGAGAAGCAATAAGTGGTATCATACCAAAGTAAGTAAGTGTAAGTCACACAAATTGTGAATGCGAAATATATATGAAATGTTCAGACAAAGGTGTGAACAATCATTAGACAGTCTTAACATGAATGGCTAATTATAATGAAGTATCGATCCATATATACATAGCGAAATATAGCAGACATGTCAACAGCCACCATATACGGATATATGTCACCAAGCAACGGACTGTCGACAAACACTCATATTATATATAATATAAGGGGAATATACATTGTTAAAGGAGACAAGTTCATACAAGTGAAATGGTCACAGACTAAGAGAGCAAACAGAAAGAGAGACCAACATATATATATATATATATATATATGTATATAAATGGATACATATCAAATTAATAGTGTTCTCTGAACCATCTGGTTGGTTCAGTTGTGGACCTTTCGTCGTCCTACTGGACAACATTTTTAGCATAAAGACTTGATGCTAAAAATTGCGCTGAAGATGTTTGTCCAGAAGGACGATGAAAGCTCCGCAACTAAACCAACCAACACAGCTAAGAGAACACTATTAATTGCAAATCATCCACCTGAGTTACAAATCTTCTCTATTATTGCAGTGTGTGTGTGTGTTTTTTGGGGGAATAACAATGAGGTATTGCAGTTCAAACCATCCAACACAAAGACACAACAAGGCTAAAAAATATCCTTATGAACTATAATGTAGCTTTGCTAATTCTTTACCTGAGCTACTTATGATTCTGCTGAAATTTCTTCTAGTTTTACATGAACAGATCAAAGGAGATAGTTCTGAATGCAAAGAGGATGTTTTCAATATCCAAGATGTTGACGATGATGATGATGATGATGGTGACGATGTTAGTCATTTGCTTTCAAGAATTAAAATGACAATCAACACACACCAATTATGAATTAGTTGAGTCAAAGGCACACACTACTTACTACTCTCTGTTTACAACCTTCAGAGTCTCATGTAATACACCATAGACTGTTTTGAGAAACTTGGGGAAAAATAAGTGGGTGGGGGGGGGAACAGTAAAGAAGAATGGGCAGTATAAGAAGAAAACTTGTACACTACAGTGGTGGTGGAGTAAAATTTAAATTTTGATAAAGTCTCACATAGTATTTGTTATACAGTAATATTTGCTACTAAATAACCAGATTTCGAGCACAATTTATTACTGCAGCTCATAATCTCATATCAAGACACTCATTCACACAACTTTCTAACTTCGTTTGTATAATTGCATTATTTTCTATCGCTTGACTTGATGATTGGTAGTAGTATTTTGCATATTCCTGGTATAAGTGATGAGTCATTCCTATTGCACATGTTACGTGTAGATTATTCGATGAACAGGGATTCAGTCAGTAGTCAACCTCTCTCTCCATCTATCTATATTACCTCTTAGGACCTTAATCCTCTCCCAACACCCTATTGTGTGGTTGTGTGTTAATGCATGCAGTGCAATGTAGTGCTGAACTTTTTTCTAAATTACTTATCATTATAGCATCAATCGTTCTAACCAATCTGACTACCCCCGATCTACTAGTTTGATCTATGTTGGTAGTTGACTTAATTCACAGTTGTTGCAAGGCTATTTTGTAAATTATATTATCCTGTCTAATTGGGTCAATCGACAAGAGCCTTTAACCTACAGAGCTTGTCCTACCTGAATGAGTTTGTAGGTTTAAATGCCACTCGAATTCCTGCTTTATTGAGAATCCTACGTGATGAGGGTCTCAGATGTTCCCTCGCTCCTCATACTGTAAAACTACTGTAGATGTCTTTTTATTTTGCTTTTGACCTTTTCTGATCTTCCTATTGAATTTTATAGGATACTTGTTTGAAACTAACGCTTCTTTTTCTTCTGTCTGTTTTATTTCGTCATTTAGGTCTTTTCTTGTGCTACTACTTAGTGCTACTGCTTGGTTTGTTAGACAGACACTTAACTAATCCCTCCTTTACTCACAGACAAACAACGGACGAGATGAATTATGAAGTCTAAATATCTATTAGCTGAATGCGTTGACTTTTTATAAACGCTGCTAGTGTACAGTTTACCTTCCTTCTATGCATAGGTGGAATGTATAAATTAATCAATTAATTATAGAATTAGATCAAAAAATCTCAACTTAATTATTTAATTAATCAAAAAACGAGCGATTTTTTTCGAAACTAACGTGACCAACAAAAGATGATACTGAAATACGCAATATCCACTCTTATTTTTTCTTCCTATAACATTGACGTTTATATTACAAAAAATTATGAGATTGAAACAGTTCATACATACATAAGCATTAAAAGCTAAAAAGAAGTAAATAACACTTTATATTTAGAGGCGTTAACACTTTGACACCATTTGAATAAAGACCACTCATTAAACACTGACGATTATTATTTTTACTAATTTTATTCCTTTACGTTCCCCCAGTGAAACATAGACAGGGCTTCAAGCTAGAGGCCTTGAAGTTTCGGTAGAAATGGTGTGTATTTTTTACGGGATGAAGGTTACTAGCCTCATGTTCAACCTTCCCTCTTCTTACAAGTCTTATTATTGGCCTAACGAGGTAAAGAAGTGCGTTGGTGGCTGGGGATTAAAGCCCGAACCACGTGAGACGTGGTTGGCCAGCATTCTACCGTTGTGCAACCGATTCTGATGATAGGAAGCTATTTCATGTCACAGTAATGTAATACAGGAACAATTGGAATAGAAATTATCGTCAGACAGCCAGGCTCATCTAATGAGATTCGTTTTAATCTGGTACAGTGAGTCGTGCAAAAAGCAAAAAAGAAAGAAAAATGAAATGGAGGAATTACAGGACCTCAGTGTGCACATTATCTTCACCATAAGCGCTTTTGTGCACAGCTACCTGTTAAAGACAATAAATTGTCTGTATTTTTTCTACCCGAAAAATAAATAAGAAGACAAGCATCTTGTGACTAAGGGTTTAGTGCATAGTGAAATCAGCTTGCTAAGAAAAATATAAAAATAGTTTCACACGAATACACTTCTCTGTATTATCAAATTATCTCTAAATCAATCCTTACACGGAGGAATTCATCATGAGCTGACATCAGTTAGAGTACCCCTACGAAATCCCTACAAAACCAATACTTGAAAATTCACCTGATGCTCACTAGCCATTGGCCCTATTCAGGCAGTTGACCTGGGGTTCTAGTGGGAAGTCGTGACCAGTAGGGTACAACAGCAGGTTGAAGATGAGGCAGTAACTTATCGAAGAAGACATTGCGAAATGGTCGCGCTATGTCGTGCGTGAATTGGCAGAAGTTAGAATTCAAAGATCATTGGATCGGGGCCCAGTGGCCGATGAATGCTCTACGAGCTCAATAGCCTTGTAACCAGAAGGTTCTGGGTTCGAACCCTGGCGGTGTGGGTGCGTACTGATGAATAGTCTCAAACCAGGGCGAAACAGCTGTCCAGTACTCCCAGGTTTTCCAGTGGTTCTCTTACCGATGTCACCTCATGATGCAATCCTCCATGCAATCAAACCCGAAATCCCTACAAAACCAATACTTGAAAACGATCCTTACACATTGAATTAAAATGCACTGAATTGATGAAATGAATTTACAATATAGAATTTTAATCATCAAGTACAGTGTTGCAATTCGCCATAACTTTATACAGCACACATTAAGGTAGAAAATATTTTCAAGAAAATATACTGAACAGAAATGTGAAGCAGGGAGAATAATCACATGGAAATTTAATTAATCATTATAATAAGGATTTTTTTGTATTTTCCAATCAATGAAAAACAAAACGATATTGTTGTCGGTTTTACTGACGTTTCAATATTCTTTAATGCTGATGCCTACATAGCTTTATCAAAGTAGCATTGTTAAACCACAGTTTGCAAAATCCACTCAGTTTATGTATAACAACTTAATCATTGTTGCTCAGAATGGGGTTATTTTTTCCTTGTCAAGTTGGTCAACTGGTAAGGATAACAAAACCAGGTCAGTGTAGATTGTTGGATTTGATGAGTGCGTAAAATTATAAAAGCAGCATGTGTTTACATAATGAAATTGCTTATCAGTCACATTCGTGTTGATTTTGTCACTTCATATGGCAAGGCAGGTGTTGTAAACAGGTTAAATTCTGTTTTAGTCCGTCATTCCCATTCAGCTCAGACAATTTACTTTCCATTCGATATGAAGTGCTTCTGATGATATTAAACGTTCTTTTTGATTTCTGAAATCCTTTTTTTGATGATTCCAATATTATCAAAGTCAATTGAGACGAGCTATGGCTGGTTGATGATTTTTCAAGTTTTTCTAGTTCACCGACTGGATTTCTCGATAGTCGAACAGACACTCGTTCTACAGTGTTCATTTCTTCTGATTACCTTGTTGCTCTCTGGTGACATTTGTCCGATGTATATCGCATCAGATTCCAAGCATTTTATTTTGTAGACGGAATTAGATACAGAATCCTTAAGGAATCGGTCTTTTATATGTATAAGGTTGCTTTTCTTTATGTCTGATGTTTCGTTGTTATGTACACGCTGAGATTTTTGTAAACCCTGGTTTAATAATACTACTTTGATAAAGCTATTAGCTGCAGCATTAAA